AACTTAGTGAGAATGAGATAAAGAACAATGAATGATGTATTTCTCCACTGTGTTTTACATCAGACAAAGGCAGCCATGACCACCATACTGAGTGACCTACGTGAGGGAGATTACTTCAATCTCATCACTTTCTCAGATAAGGTCCACACCTGGAAGAAAGGCCGCACTGTGCGGGCCACTCGGCAAAATGTGCGGGATGCCAAGGAATTTGTCAGGAAGATAATCGCAGAGGGCTGTAGGTGTTTCTTCTGTATCTTAAAAAAGTATTTATATTATTCAAAATAATAACATTATTTCCTGCAGAATTCTGTTTTTGATATATTTATTTTTATAAAATGTATTTAACATTTACATATTTAATTATAATTTATCCATAATAAAAAAAAAATATATTATAAGTAATTAAAATATATTTAATAACTGTTGCAAATGTATATATTTAACTACATGTTATATGAACAACCAGTCAGTAGAATGATACTGATGGTTTCATAAACCTTATGTACATTTGCTTAATTTCAAGAAGAACATCTAATAATGGTAGCTTGATGTTCAGTCAGCGAGTCAGATTGATTTAGTGATTCAGTAACCACTCTAATGGATTAATTGAGCTCAGTGAAGGATTCATGTGACTGATTCAATCCAGCAACTTCTAGTTTATTTTGCTGTGAAGCTGGAGATTAAACAGCCACGGTGAAGATTCAGTTTTGCAAGAAATACTGTAATAAACTTTTTTTTTCTTCCCTTTTGACACCAGGGACAAACATCAATGCAGCTCTACTGTCTGCAGCCCAGTTGCTAAATCCATCCTCACACTCATCTTCATCCAGTGGTCATGCACCTTCATCTCACCGTGTTCCCATGATCATCTTCCTGACTGATGGAGAAGCCACTATTGGGGAGACAGAACCAGATGTGATTCTGCGCAATGCACAGAATGCTTTGGGTTTAGCTTCGTTATTTGGCCTGGCCTTTGGAGATGATGCTGATTTTCCAATGTTGAGAAGGCTGGCATTGGAGAATCGTGGTGTGGCTCGGATGGTAAGAGCAAACAGTAACAAACAGTGAAAAGTCCCAGAGCTGTTGGACTGTATATCAGTGCTCTTGGAACGACATTCAGCCAATCAGATTCGAGGACTGGAACTAAATAAGAATTAGAATATTTGATTCAAATTATTTATATTAAATTGTGTAAATGAAATTGTAATAATTAATATTTTCATTTATTTGTTGTCTTTCAGGTATATGAGAATGATGATGCAGCTGTCCAGTTGAAAGGTTTCTATGATGAAGTTGCCAGCCCTCTGCTTTCAGATATCCAGCTGTCCTATCTAGACGATCAGGTGTACGATATCACTCGCTCTCTGTTTCCCAACTATTTCCAGGGCTCTGAATTGGTAGTCACGGGTCGACTTAAGCCAGGGGTACAGGATCTAAAGGTTATGCTAACAGCAAACGATTCGAAGCAGAAAGTCAAAGTGGAGAATGAGCTACCATTGGCCAAAGCAGTTATAAATGGAACAGAACCGTCTCTGGGCTGTGCACAGGCACTGGATGGCATTCCTAGCTTTGTGCATCGGCTCTGGGCTTATTTCACAATCAAAGAGTTGCTCTTGGCTAAAATTAACACCTCGGATGTGTTCACACAGCGTCTTCTTGTAGATAAAGCCACCAATCTTTCGCTGAAGTACAATTTTGTAACACCGGTCACATCATTGGTTGTGATCAAACCAGATATTGATGAACCAGAACCTACTATTAGCTCTTCTGTTTTGGCTACTACTAGCAAGACGTCAACTAGTACCGTTGCAGGTTCTACAAACGTGACGAATCAGACCTCTCACACTGCACCTAAAATATCTTCCACATCTGCAACAAGAAACAAAAAATCCAGCTCGTTCTCACCTCCAAAAACAAGCAAACCTCCTGTCACCAAATCTGTACGAGTACATCCACCACCCTCAGGGCTTCACACCACAGGTCGACCGCCTAACACCTCTGTCTCCCTTAACAAAACAATCCCTCCTTCATCACCTAAGAAGACCACTACTGGACCACTTAAGACCACCTCTACCCCACTTTCCAGCAAGCCATCCTCCTCGCCTCCCAGTACCATCAAAACCACACCAGCCTTGGCTAAGATTTCAAGCACACCTCCTAGTACAGCGAAATCCACTTCTTCCTCTCCGCCAGTCAAAAGCACAACACTAGCCACCTTAGTCAAAACTGCGCCATCTGTGGTGAAAGACTCTTCCTCAGACATTGAGAACTCTACTACCTCAGGACTTACAACGCTTGAGCAGGGCCAACAAACATTACCCTCCACAGCATCTACCACCGATGCTAATTCAGACATTCAGATTGAACTGGAAGTGGCCACACTGATGGCTCCTTCGTTTCTGCCTATGCCAGGAATGACAGATGCACCGAAGTTGTGGGAAGCCTCTCGCTTTCTTGGTGAGTTCCTTCTAAGGAGCAGAAGCTGACATTTTTAGCCACAATTTTGCAAATATTTGGTAGTTTTGTGTTCTTTGAATGCCACATACATTTCAAACGAATAACCAAAGTGCTACTCAATGTAATGGTTGTTTTTGTGTCCTCTCTTTTCCATTCTTCTCTATCCATCAGATGTGTCCTCAGCCATCCAGATTCAGAGGAAAGGTAATACAGTCCATATTATTTTCATTCTACTTCTTTGGTTTAGACACCGTATGTGTCCACTAGGGCAGATTGAGACTAGTGCTGAACATGCATCTACAATTCATTCTCTATAGCTGCGTACCGATTGACAGGATCCCTACAAAGTGTTCACTGCTCTTCCAAGGGTATCTTTTGAAGTTCACTTCACTTGACAAAATGTGCGTTTTGTCTGTCACATCTTGCGCACTTTATACCTGCAACTGTGTACAAACCATACCTGGGACTAATTAAACTGAATAATAATGCTGGAAACTCCTTTTCACATTATTTTATTCAGACTTAAGTATTGGAGTGATGTGCAGTAATTGGTGGAACAATTTCCCTCTACACTTCCTTTTCAAGTGATGTATCGATGTTCCCTTATTTCCTATGTCGTTTGCTGTGTCCTTCAAACTGAACATGCACGCTCTCCTAGGATTAGAATCTCGCTTATGATTGCAGTATACACTATGACTTACAGTCGAAGGAACTGCATCTTATGTGAGCTAAGCTTCAAGTTTGTGCTGGGGATTGTGGGATTGAAAGCGGAGCAAATACTGAGTGGAGCAAATACTGAAAGTAGCAGCCATAAAGCCGAGTGGACACATACGGTCAAGGTGACATTAGGGTAAAGTTGTAGCATCTGATCATGTGTTTCTTAATCTTTTATACAGATATTGAACTTGTTAAAGGTAGGTAATACGTTTTCAAGTGCTAAATCAGTTTGACACTGATACCAAATGTAAACAATAACTTGCTAAACATGAATTAAATCAAGCCAAAGCTGCATTATGATGTTATTTTGCAGATTATGATACAGCACATGACTACGACTATGACTACAACATCCATTATGAGTCATGTGAGTTAAAAATTGTAATTTTTGCTTGGTCTACTTTTTCAGCTATTAGGAATTACTGTTATGTCAGTTTTTGGATTTGTTAATTTTTCTTTCAGATTCCGATGCTGAGGTGTCTGGTAAGCACGTCATTTATCAATCCATTACCTCTGTATGTGCAATAATAAACCATCAGAAATGTTGCGCAACTACATTTATTAACTTGTAATAAGCAGCACATTTTACTGCAGTCTTCAATTTCAACAGACCCAGATAACCAACCTAGTTTAAGTTCAATTAGAGGGTTCTCCTCCTCAGGTATGACTAAAGGACAGAATATTTCATGAAATACTCAATTTTTGCACATTTAAAATTGAATACAAATAATAATCTCATAGAAGTTATGTATTCACATAAGAGTATTTTGTGTCTCTGAAAGTGGATGGAGACCCACATTTTGTTGTTCAGCTCCCAAAGCTCCATCAGAACTTGTGTTTTACCATTGATGGCAGGGCTGATGATGTACTACGGCTTCTGGAGGACCTAGACAAAGGTGGTTTTATATTTTTACATCCACTATATAGCTTACATATCTTTAAGGAATCTAAACAAAACGCATGAAATGTTTAGATATTCTTTTAACATGATTGATGTCTCTTATTCCTGTTTTATACTGGTAGGCATTATTGTGGATGGGCATTTAATGCTGGCTCCTTCTAAGGAGGGGCTGGAGAATCGTACTCGTACCTTCTTCGACAGGATTTCCATCATTGCTGCCAAAGGTGGCATTATGATCACATTAACACTGGACTCCGTACAAGTAGAAGCGGATGGGAAAGAAATCGAGACGCTTCCCACCAATCAGAGAGGATCTGTGGAGCAACACGGCATGAGAATCACGGTTGAAGAGCACCACAGCTGTTGGATTGAGCTCGGGGTTGGTGTGCAGTTCCTCATTCTCTTCCATCTCTACAACCATCCCAAATCCTTTCAAATGGAGCACCTGGGCTTCTATATAGCCGATGGAAAGGGGCTTTCTCATCTCACTCAAGGGCTGTTGGGTAGGTAACAGCATTTCTGTTTGTTTTAATCTTATTCCGTGAGATGTCAAATGGTTTTTCAGACTTATTTCGCCATTTTTTAGTATTTGTATGGGTATTTATTTCCAGGCCAGTTTCAGCATACCCATATGGAGGTTATAAGGGTTTCAAGGGATCAAGCTGGTTTCCATCATGCACAAACAAATAAGAACACTTCGCTGGCTATGGGCTTGCTAAAGAAAGGAGATGAGCATTTTCCTGTCACCCTACAAGACAAGAATCTGAAGGACTCACCCAGGAAGCGACACTCGGCTCAATGTTGGGTAGTGCCAAAGGTGGATGTAGAGAGACTTCTGGGCCAGTCCTATGAGAGCTATGTCGTGGATCGCCAGTAGAAAACCTTCACATCACGTCTCCACTTCTACAGTTACAAAAGGTACAGAAAAGACACTGGAACTTGAATCTTTTGCTATTTGACAGTGAAAAAACATTTGATGGGGGAGAGACTAAGAATATACACAAGCTGTGATGAACTGAAGGATGTTTCAGAAGCATTGACTGATCCAAATATTTGCATTTGAACATAATGGTACACAAGGGTTTGTGGTCCGTAAGATTTGATTTTGAAAGAATCAACACTTGTATTCTGCAAGTACGCATTCAACTGACCAGAAGTAATGGTCAAGACATTTATAATGTTACAAAAGATTTTAATTTTAAATAAATGAAATTGAACTTCTTATTCAGCCAAGAAACCTGTAAAACAAATCCCTGAAGACTGGAGTAATGGCCTTGCCATCACAGGAATAAATTACATTTTAAAATAGATTAAAATAGAAAAGTTATTTTAAATTCTAACTGTATTTAAAAAAATTACTATTTACTGTAGTTTTGAATAAACAAATGCTTCCTTGGTGTGAGTATAAGAGCTTTCTTTCAAAAACATAAAAAAATCTTGCCGACCCCAAACTTTTCAATGGTAGTAAATCAGTGCATTTTTTATCAGTAAATTGACTATTTAAAAACATTTATATTTAATGTTCTCTTTGGGATGAGATGATAAAAAAAAATTCACGGTAATCAGATATTTTTTTTTTCTAATCTGCCAGTTAGTTTGCATAAATATGTATGTGCATATATATATGCCTCCATTTAAAATAATATGAGAATTTTATAATGTGATTATATAATATTGTATATTAGTAATATGTATTGAATGCTTTACTTTGTCCTGTTAGGAAAGGAAATCCTTCTTCATGTGCCAATAATCAAACGTAACCAAAGAAAGATTGATTTAATTTTATCCATTTTTATTTTTGTTGCACAAGACTGCTCAAACACGAGATGAAATTCACAACTTAAAATTGTCGAGTTTGTGTGTCAGCTTTTTTTTTTAAAGATGTTTAGTTGTTTCAACATTGAAAATGAAAGACAAAATGAAAATAAATACAGTACAAAACAGTTAATCCAAACATATGCAACAATATGTTGGAGAGATGCAAAAGATAACAAATATAGCAATGCAGCGTAATTCTACTTGATTCCAGTTATCATTAATCCATCTAATTTGTGCACTAAGGAAGAGAGTTCAAGACCTGTATGCTTCTATGTGAATCTATAAGGCTATAAGTGACTTTGGCCCAATAAAATTCAAGAATGTAATGAAACTGTCACACTCCTTGTTTTCCATAAAAAATTGGAGTCAAAGGCTTTTTTCTCAGCAAGGGCGAGTATGGAAAACATGACAATGCTTGTATATTCTACACTGAAAGCTGTACAGTGAGAGTTCAAACAGCACACCATTATCATCTGGTCCAGACTACAGTCTACTATTAACTATTGATGGCAATTCGAATAATTTGAAAACAAAAACAAGCATGATTAGAGATACAAGTAATGGTGAAAATGACCAGTCATAGTTCAATACTAAGTTTGTCTTGTGGTTTCTAACAGCCAAGTGTAAATGCAGAGACTACGTGTGTCAGTCACTGATAACAATAGAAATCAAAGATGCAGTGAGAATCTTTACAGTGCACAGGGAGAAGGCATAGTGTTCATCACAATTCAAAGTTAGAGCATGTATGTATTTAGTAGACTGGAGTCAGCCTAGTTTACAAAAGCTAGAATACCAACAGATATGGCTACTATCAAATACCAAAGGATCTGATACTCATTAAATTCACATTATCATTTACTTCTGCAGCTGTGGGAGTGAAAATTGCTTCCACATTCTTAAGACTCATTTCCCATAACAGACTAAGCAATCGACTCATTATGCATTTTTGCACACATTTGCATTCAATAACAGCTGTCTGTATTGGTTTTCACTACAAACAAAATGAATGAATAATAGCAGGAGGATGAGGAATGTAGAATAAGGTCAATAGGTCACTGTGAGGCCATACAATGTTTTTAAGTTAGCACAAAGACTGTAATGTTAGCTACAAGTTAATGGCTTACAATTCACTTCTATACTGCATATTATACATCTCATCCAATTTAGTTGTCCCCCCCAAAAAAATCCACCAATAATAATCATAAAAAAGAACTAAATACCTTTTAAAGACCAGTGAATGGTAGAGCAGAAGGATCATGATTAGGAAATGCAATGATATGAGACTATGAGACCGTCAATTCAGGTTTTGATTGCTGGATCTAGCAAAGTCAGATTTATTTTTGTACAACTTTGTGTTTTAAATATTATCAATATCATATTACATCCTTTTCCAGGTGTCAAACTCTAGTTTTTAATGGAGAGCGTTTCATGATCTTACTATATGTTTGTCAGTGACACTTTCCTAAAGTACAGGAAAGCTGCTGTAGTGTTCACATGAAACTGTTAAATGTCAAAGTGACGACAGTATGCTAAACTAACAGTCTGAGGACAGTTGGGGATACTTCACGAAAGTTGATGAGAAATCGTTTTAAATCACCTTCAATATTCGAGGAATCGTTCACGTGCATGGGCTTCAGTCAAAGATGATATTCAGAGAACAGAAAGACACGTGTTTCACTTCAACAGGATATTTTGCGCAAACGATGCATACTGCTTGTGTATGAATCTAAAATAGCATGTTGGTGTGAGCCCACTTTGTAGTGCAGAGTTGTGGAATGTGAGCAATAGAGCGTTTGTGTGTCTGTGTGCTGAACTGTAAGTATCCGAACAGAGACACCGGAGGGGTGTGGAGACAATGAGCATAGAGCACTCTGGGAAAGATAAGGCCGGTTGAAAGAGGTTTACAGCATTGTCGATTCTTTTCTGCATAACCTCTGAACCCAGCCCAGTAAATCCCGTTCAGCCCACCTCATCTCTCCCTCCACCTGATCATTGCCTCTCCACTCCTCCGTCACTTCTCCACCCTTCACTGCTCGTCCTCGCCGAAGACGTCGTTCTGTTTACGTTTCATGTTCTCAAAGTCGAAGTCACTGCCTGTCATGCGCTTGTAGATGTCCTTGATGTCGTTACAAGTTGTTTCGAAATGAGTGGTGGCATCGTAGGACCGTGATGCAAAAATCTGGAAACATGACAATGATAGTGGTTATGTTTTGTGATTGATGCCCGGCAGTGCCTTGTTGAAAGAAATTACTGTGAAGCCAGTGTTGTTATTGTTAACTAAAACTATTAAAATAGTTTTTGTTAACTGAAATAAAGCTAAAATAAAGTAAATAAATATTAGATTAAAAACAGAAACTTAAAAAAAACAATGTTTCCTTGGAAACTAACCAAAATGAAACTTTTACTAAATCAAAATGACTAAACCTAAAACTAAAATAAAAATAGTTAAATAGAAATATTTAAAAATGGTAATAAAAATGACAAAAGCACATAGTAAAATGACTAAAACTAAAATAAAACTGAACGAAAGCTAAAAGTATAGAAGCTAATTCAAAATATTAATAAATATTACAGTAATATAAAAATATTAAAATAACTGTGGGAAGCTGACCTGGCTCTCTGTACCATCCTCTGTGGGTTCATACATATCACTGATGGCCACAAACCTGTAAAAATGGCAAAATAATAATAAAAATTGCATTCCATTTATGATATGTTTTTATATAATTAGCTATAGTTTAAGAATTTAGCTGGCAAAGCTGCGTTTCAGACCAAAAAAAAAAAGACCCAAAAAACAGAGTATAGAAGGCATAGAAAAAGAGAGTAAACTGACTTTTGGTCAATGGGCTCAAGGAGTTCCAGCGCAGGTTCGATTTCAGCTTCAGGATCAGAGGTTTCCACGGTGGTGCTTGCAATGGCAATGTATTTCCCTTGAGCCGCCACATTATGGGCGTAGGAGATCATGCAAACATAGATATCTACAGGCAAAAAAAACCCAACAAAATGTGCATGAACTTTTCATTACTTCAGCTCGGCTCATTTTTTAAATGAAAGCAAGCAGCGCTCTCTAGTGGTGACTGCACACAAGTACCGGCGCACACATGCTAACGTATATTTTAATACATATACACACAGTTATAGTGTAGGTTTATCCTGCAAATTTTCCGAAGTTGATATGTTGTCACTAACCTGATTTGCGGTTAACCTGGTTCTGAGGGATGATGATCTGGCAGGAATTGGCATCATTAGTGTTTTTAATGGGATGGCTGAGGATGCAGATGACCCGGATCACCTGGCCGACTTTGTGCACGCGGTCTGGGATATAGCTAGGGTCACAGATGAGCTGCTTGCAGCGGGCAACCTGGATGATTGCACCAAATCAGAAGACAACACCAGACCTTATGCATAAACCTATGCATGAAAGCCACCTATTTAATCCTATTTAATGCATGGTTGATGAAATAAACCAAAAATAAATGTAAATTTTGTCTCAAACTTTTCTAAGGAAAATCCATGCATTGTCACTTTGAAATAAATCAGTTTCATTTTTAATTATTATTATAAATTATGAATATTTAATTATTTATTTTAAGTTATATCACACTGCAAACACCACTTGTGTAAAGAATTCACCTCTCCCTCTGATTTCACGCCCACCACGTGTCCTCCCTCCATCACTATCTCATCCACTGGCTTGTTCAGCATGTAGGTTCCTCCATAAATTGCACTTAACCTGTAAGTTCACAAAGGAAAAGGACCATATTTATAACACAAGGACTTTACAATGACACTCAACACAAGGGTAGGAGGAGCGGCTGACCTAGCAAACCCTTGAGGCAGCTCCCCCAATCCGTACAGAGGGTAAAGGTATGGGCTCTTCCCGTAGCGTGCCAGAGACTCACTGTAGAGTTTGATCCTATTGACGGTCTCCAGACATGGCAGCTCAAGGTAACTAGGAGGAATTCAATTCATTACATTTATCACCAATGCAAAAGAATTTGTTGCCATTTACTGGCATTAAGGCAAGCCAGCATAATCACAGTACATTAAGACGACTATTTTGTATTACAAGGTTTCTGAAATGTTTAAATATGCAAATGAGGCATTATCTATTTAAAATATGCACTGATTTGCAT